GGGGGGGGGGGGGGGGGGGGGGGGGGGGGGGGGGGGGGGGGGGGGGGGGGGGGGGGGGGGTGATAGGGCAGAGTGTTGGGAGGAACGGGTGGGTCGGTCGGTGTCTCGCATCGCACGACAAAACAAAATAGGGATAAACATGGCACGGCAACGTCGCGAGATGTTAAATTCCATCCCATTCTTGGCAATCACGGCGAAAGTAGAGGGGTTTCTCCTCCGCCCCCACCGCCTGCCCTTGCCTTATTCCTGCCGCACATGCTATCGTTCAGATTCTGCACCCATCCACACGCTTCCGATCGTGGCTCTTAAGCCCTTCCCTTTCTCTCTGATTTAGTTTCACCTGTCCATCGAACACGTGGCTGAACGTTTCCCTGAGCCACGCCTTCTGCTGCTCCAGCCGTGCCACCTCTTCGTCCAGAGCGCTCTGTTGCTGCCGTGGGATCAAAACGCCGTGAGAAGGGTGTCAAATCGTTCAGGGGTGGCGGAGTGTGAGATGTGTGGGGGTGGTTAAGCGTGTACTAGCCGGAGACCGAGAGGCTGATGCACTGTTTCAGCCGTGACATGCACAGCACAAAAGCGTGGCAATTAGCGGAAATGCGGAGAGAAGAAAGAACGGCAGCAGCAGCGGCAACACCCACGGCCCCTCAGTTTCCAGCGTGCAGTCCTGGCAACACCGCAACCGCTAGCAGCAGCCCGTACCTGACTGTCCGTCCCGCTGTGATGTGCCTGATCCCATCGCGCAGCTACCAAAGTGTCACACGTGGCCGACCACAGCCCGACCTAATGAACACAGGGATCAAACCAAACAACGCCAAGTTTCGGGTGGAGGGATTCGTCATTCACCGCCCATCAGCAAGACTTGTGCCACACCAAAAGGAGACGGAACTTATGGCACGCCGGGGCGCCCACAACAAATAGCGGTGAGAACACGCCCAGCAGTCTACACGAAGAACCAATCCCTATCATGTGCAGACGAGGTTTCAATTGGGCTCCCACCCGCTCTAGTGTTCATCTACCACACGGCGGCAAGCACAGCAGTTGTGGCACCGTCAATGTCAACCTTTGGTCGCCATTTTTGTCGCTGTTGCTTTTGTTGATACCGTCTCCACCTTGAAAATTGTTGCTGGTGGTTTTCCAATGCCTTCTACTACCCAGTACTCTTTACGGGGGAAGAATTGACTTTCAATTTTCGCAGGCTAACCCAAGCTTAGGGTGCAAACGAGACGCAACGTAGCAAGCACAACCACTCCTTCGTGTTTCTACCTCCCTTTGCCTTAGCTCACCAGCTCCTCGCTATCGACCTTCGCGGTTTGCGGCACCACAGGGCACAGGGCGCCCACCGAACCATCCTTCCTCGCGATCCAAATGGTGAAGCGCTGCCAGCCGGGGCAGTGGCTGTGGGCCAGCGCGACGGGCGGAGACACGTTCGGCCCGTCGGGGATAGGCAACACCTGTTTCGTACGTAAATGCGAGCGTGTCTTTGTTGGCGGCATCGGTCGCGCTTCGTGGCTGGCGAAGTTCCACGATAAGGTGTGAGTCGCAGTGGGGCCAGGCACGCGGAGGCCGTGTTCCACACCGGATTCGGATTCAGATTACGACAGTGCACCTCAGCAAAACAGCAGGACACGCCTTCCTTAGAGGTGCATTCGATGTGCTCCTATATGCACAACAGAAAATGTAAGAGGGGCATACGCCTATTCTGGATGCATGCGTCTTGGACGGAAGCACTGTACATGTCCAAGCACAGGCGGGGAAGAGGGGCGATTCGATGCGGCGATGTGTCTGGCAACAGGCCGCCGGAACTCCAGTTTCGACGTTGGCCGTTTGCGCAAGCAAATAACTTGAGAGTTATGACATAAAACCTTCCTATTTCGCCACGGGCGCGCGCTCAGGGTGGGGGCATGATTAGGTTGTGGAGAACTCAGCAACATGTCAATGGAGCACAGCAGCATCTCACTCCGTTGCCGGCGGAGTCGAACGGGGCATTCGGAATCCGATGGGTGAGAATGCCTGCCACACGTACGACATGCGCCCGCGGAAAACACTGCTGCATTGGCAACTCCAAGATGAGTAAGGCTCAACCAAACCCTCCCTTATATGTACGTAGAGTGGTGGTACAGCTTTGGCGGGGGTGTTGTGCGGCGGTTGACGATTTTCGAAAGGATTTGAATCTCCGGAGATACCATGCACCATACTGCCCGCCGGCGACACTCTGTATGTATCCACAAGAAGACGCGCACCTGCTCCGGCCGCTCTCGGCCCGGCACGTGCAGCATGACGAACGCCTTGGCCCCGACCCCGGCGACGGCCACGTAGACGTCGTCCTTCCCGGCGGTCAGCAGTGTCACGCACCCGTCGCTTGCCGGGTGCCAGGCGGCGTGCACGATCCTCTGCCTCATCACGTCCACGGCGTACCCGGACATGTCCACCAGCGTCCACTTCCACCTAGCGCTCTTGTCACCGCTGCTGCCGTTGCCATCCGCCATCCCCGGCCACCGGTCGCTCACAGTTAGATCCCGAGGCGGGGAGAAGAAGGGCGTCGCCGGCGGTACCCCGTGCGTAGGGTTGCTGCCGCTCGTGGTGCGGGCGGCGCGCGGGAGGCGTGCAACCGCGACATAGCTCTCGCCCCAGATAAGCAGGCTGTGGCCGGAGGGGGAGAACTGTAGCCCCTTGATGGGGGTCTTGGGCGGGATGGAGTCGCTGGGGATGATGTCGTCCCCTGGTCTCGGCGCGCAGTCCGCGGAGAAGGACACGGTGTGGAACGGGTCGTCTACGCGCCGTTGTTGTGCTGATGATGGCGTCCTGATGCTACTGCTGCTGCTGGGAGCATGAGCCGCTGCGTCGGGAACGTCCATGAGGCTGACGGCGCGAATGGTGTTGCTCCCGCACAGCATGGCGAGATCGAGGCCCGCGCTGACGGCCATGAGCTCGGAGGCCACGACGCTAGCGGTTGCGCCGGAAGAGGAGGACGCGGCGGCGTCGAGGCTCGTGGTCGGCGGGGGGTGCAAGGACGCCGACCGCAGCACGAGCTGCATCTGGCTTGCTGCTGTCGACGACCCGCGCCGTGGGGTGGTGTTCATCGCCATGCCCGTATCTCCCTTGCCTCTTCCTATGTCCTCAAACACGCCCTACGTCTACCTCCCTGTCTTATGTTGAGCAGTGAGCTCACGCTCTACTGTTGCTGCTGCTATTACTGCTGGGTTGTTTTTGCACTTCGGACTCAGCACAGCCCATCTGCCCAAATCTGCCTGGACGGGGGTCCCACACATTGTATGTGAGAATGAGCAGGGTACAAGAAATAGTGCTGTATGTGGGTGCCCTGCTGCCATCGGCGGCGGTGTGGCTGCACGTTGGAAGAAACCCCGACACACATGCATGAGTGTTAGGGCACATACGGCACGCGTCGGAACTGCTGCGGAGAGCTGAGTGTCATCCATACCACCATGGCGAGGCACAGAGGAGTCCGAAACCGGCAGTTCAGCTATGACGAGGGAGATGAAGACTACTACGACGAGGAGGAGGAGGACCGACTGGTAGAGGAGCACAGGCTGCGAATGCTCCAGGCTAGGGGCGACACGGCAGACGTCAGCAGCAACAGCAGAGGCGGCGGAGGCGGTGGAGGGATATCCCTGTCGTCCTACTTCGACGACCTTCCCGGCAGCGCACCACGACAGCAGCAGCGACAACAGCGGGCGTACGACGGGAGAGAACCACCGGGACACTCCGATCGGCACGCCCCGGATAAGCCGCCGCAACCGGGCGGAGACGACGAGGCAGCGGACGCCGAGCTCGTGGCCGCCATTGCTGCCGAGCTTGAGAGTCGCCTCGGGGCAGGCCGCTTCTCGTCCGAGCAAGTGCGGCTGGCGGTAAGGACAAGCGAGTACGAGGTGGATACCGCGGAGGTCATCCTCCTGAGCGCCAGCGAAGCGTCATCCGAACCTCAGGTTCAATTTGGAGGCGGCAACAGCAACAGTAGCCATCGCACCGTCACAGCAGCAACCACTGCGGTTGTACCACCACCCCCAGGACTTCCGCCAGACGCTACCGTGTACGACAACAGCTCGCCGTCGTCGCTTGCCTTCGGCCTGTGCGTCGATGGCCGTCCTTGTGCCACTGCTAGCAGCCGAACGACCTCGGCCCCGAGCACCACCGCCGTCCCTGCAGCCGCATCCGCCGCCGCCGCCGCCGCCGCCGTTGGCGTGCAGCGTTTCGACTTCGGCACACCGTCACCAGACGACCTCAATCTATCCAAGCAAGCAGCAGCACGAGGAGGAGGAGGAGCCGGAGGCCGAAAAATAGACAATTTTTCCAGTCAAAAGGCAAAGGTGGTGCACATCTCCGACACGGCGCCCAAGAGCACCGCCGCCGGCCGCCAGTCCATCACCGGCACGCCGACGGCCGCCGCCGCCACGCGGACTCCGACTAAGACCCGGGTCCAGTCCCCGACGGGCGGAGGAATCTCCGCGCCGTCCCCGCAGCAATCCGCGGCGGCGGCGGCGGCCATGGACGAGAGCGACGACGCGCAGGCTGGGGGAAAGGAGCGGCTGGCGATGGTCGTGATCGGACACGTGGACGCCGGAAAGAGCACGCTCATGGGACAGGTAAGTTTCCGTTGCATGGCGGCACTTCGGCGGGGCAAGCGTTTGCCGAGCCTCGCACCAAAGACAGGGAGGGTGTTGTAATGGTGCCTTGACTACTGCCGAGACATGGAGCGCCTACGATTGCACACAAGCGCTCCATGTTTTTTTCACGGCAATGATATGTCACCATGCTCTCTTCGATGCGGAGAGTCGAACAGTCGGTACTGCTGTGCGCCGTAGGCCATTTTTGTCGTGCCAGGGTTTGAAACGAGGCTCTTGACGACTTAGCCTTAGCCTCGGTTCATTGGAGCCCCTCCCGACCAAGGGCACCTCGCACGAGGTTGACGGGAGCAGCGATCGAGAGCTTTTCGGTTCGGGCGACTCCTGTCGCCTCTGTGGACATCAACGATCGAACGTATACGTATTTCATCCTGACTTTGCCGCCGATGCGCCTGGATGTTTGCCCCTCTCGCAATCATCTCGTAGGTGTTGGTGCAGATGGGCCAGGTGACTCAGCGAGCGCTGCACAAGCAGGAGAAGGAGGCCAGAGAGGCTGGGAAAGCGAGCTTCTTCTTGGCATGGGTAGGTGACGACGTCGCGTAGGTGCTGGCCTGCTGTTGCTGTTAATGCTGCTGCCGCTGCTGCCGCACACGTATGAGATTGAATGCTGCCTTTGTACACATGTTGCTAGATGGCAGGTAGAAATTTGACGATCCTTGTGCTGTCATGTGGTTTACACCGCCGCCCCGGCTGCTGCTGCTGCTGCAGGGACTGCTGTGTTGATTTTTTAAGTTTGTGTCTGGCTCTCCTGCCCCTACAGTTAATGTTTACTCGCACAGCCCTCTCGACGGGAACAAAAAAAACACACCAGGCCACAAATGATAACAGTCACGCACGCATCTGAAACCGCCGTCGCCGTCGTGTGTTGTTTCCCGTTTTGCCTGCCGCAACAAACAGGTGATGGACGAAGACCAGGAAGAGCGGGCCCACGGCGTGACGATCGAGGTTGCCCAGAAGCACATCGAGACGGAGACCAAGCTCGTTACCCTCCTGGACGCGCCGGGCCACCGAGACTTCATCCCCAAGATGATCAGCGGCGCGAGCGCGGCCGACGCGGCCGTGCTGGTCGTCCCCGCGGCCGTGGGCGAGTTCGAGTCCGGTTTCCAGGTATATTACCAAGCGGTCGCAATGTTTTTCATCTTCAACGTGAATCATCCTCGACAGACGTTGGGAGCTTGTTTACCCTTCATGAGGTGATCTCGACACCAAGCCGCATGAGAATAATGCTAGGTTATCTGTGTTGGCACGGCATTGAGGGGGCGGGGGGTACCTCTCGCCCTTCGTTAAAAGTTGTTCGTAGTTTTTTTTTCGTCGCGCAATGTTGCTGTGCCCACTCCGGAACCCCGGACCCGTATTCGGTGGTACGCAACACACGTCGCTTCGGACGTTGACTTGTTTACGGTGGGTAGAGGGTTGTGTGTCTGCATGTTCACGTATTGTAGATCGTAGAACACCGGCGGGTGCCATGACCATCCACGAGCGTAGAATTGCTCTCCCCTAGGCGTCTACGTTGCACGTGCCCCTTAAGGATATTATCAATTGTACCCTAGGTGTTTTCGTACCCTGAGACGTCGTTTCCCGATGATGTGGTTGGTTGTTGCCGGATTTTGGCGCTCGGGGGTGGGCGTTTGCGATGCGACGAGCGTTAGCGTAGACAGCACGCGTCAGGCCCGGAAACGAGATTATCATTTATTTCGTCGACACCCATTTGCATCCAGAAGATCCTTGTTGGCTGCTTGTCAGTCGAGATGTGTCGATACTGCTGTAGTGCCTGAAAGAGAGGGACACCAAGCTCGCGATGGGGCCAAATAAAAGCCGCTGCAGTCAACGAACCGCCATTGTAATCTTCTTTGATTGTTGTTCTCGTGGTCGCCTCCCAGGCGAACGGCCAGACGAAGGAGCACGCGATGCTCGCCAAGGCCCTGGGGGTCAACCAACTCCTGGTGGTGGTGAACAAGCTGGACGCGACGGATCCCCCGTGGTCCGAGGCGCGCTACGAGGCGGTCAAGGCGGAAGTCGGACCGTTTCTCGCAAGGACGGGGTTCCGGCCGAAAAAGGTGTGGTGCGCGTTTGGCGGAGTGGGTCAGAGCCCCCCCCCCCTCCCCCTATCTCGGCCTCCCCCTATCTCGGGTCACCACCTGTTGCTTTCCTACCCCCTTGTTGTAGTAGTTTTGCGATAGATGGAATCGGTTCTACACACAGAAACGGCATTTTATATATGTGCGGAGCATGGTCATATAGGCATGTCATTCTGTTTGTACGGGTTAGATTCGCTAGGTTGGTCGGGAAGGCTACGAAGGGGCTGTTGATGACAGACACCCATCAAAGTCGTGTGGGTACGTGTGTTTACGCAAACATTCACCATCTGATTTCGCAACGGTGTCCATGTAGGGGCACACCCGTGCTTTCACGTCTTTTCGGGTTTTGTCCGGCGCGATTTTCCGTGTGGGCCAGGAGCGAACGCAGCAAGCTGTCTTCATAGCTGCAGTGCCGGATTCCCGGTTGTTTTCTGATTTTATCGTGATCAGGGTGTCGGTCAACTATCTGAAGTCATGTCGTCACTCTTTTCACGACCACGTTGCACGGACTGGAGTGTAGCGAACGTTGGAGTGATATGTTGCAGTCGTTCCTTGTCCTTTTATGTTCTTTTAGTGCCTGGAACGCGCTCTTGCTTTGCTTGCTCCTTTGCTCGGGCAACACCAGGTCCCCCCAACCCACTGGAGCATGTTTACCTATGAGTGATGCCCATTTTTTTATGCATCATCCCGAGTACGACATCCTCGCGCACAACCGGTGTATCGCGCGCGTGCCCACGCCACCCCACCCCGCCCAGCAGCCTGCACAACGAAACCGCGCTCAAAATCTCCACCTGGTCCCACCCCCGCCGCTCGGTTCAGGTGCGATTCTTGCCAGCGTCCGGGCTATCGGCGGAGAACGTCTCGAAGAGGACCGAGGGGGGGGCGCTATCGTCCTGGTACGACGGCCCCACTCTCCTGGAGGCCATCGACTCCTTTCAGGCGGCCCCCCGGGCGATCGATAAGGCGTTCCGGATGTGCGTCGCGGACGTTACCTCCTCAGGAAAGGTGCGGGTTTTGGACGGGGTTTTTGTGTGGGTTGTGGTACGTGGTTTTGCTCAAGGCCTTCCGGGCGTGCGGCGATGACGTCACCTCCTCGGGTAATGTACGGGGTTTTGCGGGGGTGTTTTTTTTTTCGGGGGCTCCGTGGTCTGCCTGTGTGTGTCTGTTGATACAGCAGTAGTATCATCGATCTACCGCTGCCGCCGCAATCTTCGGAGACGGATGGGATGCGCATTTGGTTGTAGTGTAGTCGGTTTTGTTTGTGTATAGTGCACCCTCTCCTGATGTTGGAAAGGTTCCTCCGAGCGACGCACATGCGTTGATGTTGCCCTCCCCCTTAGAAAAGAACCATCACAGAATCGTATCACTGTTGTTGTTTTGGGGGCGGTCTGTTCCAGTGTAGGAAGTGTGCTGTACTTCACCAAAGTGGAGTGCATTGGGCTCTCCCCCACGAGCAACTTCAACCCCCCCGCGTGCCATTGTACATTTTTCAGGGGGTGTCGGTGTCAGGGCGGGTGGTGCAAGGTCGCTTGCGGTCCGGCGATAAGGTGGTGGTGATGCCTCTCGAAGACCCTGCCGCGGCGGCCCGGCTCGAGAGAAACGGGGCGCCGGCGAGAACGGCGAGGGCTGGGGACAACGCGGAAGTGAGAGGAGAGCAGTTGGCTGGCTGGCTGAAAGGTTGCCTCGGTCTAGCCAACCATCAAGACAGTGCAGTTCGATGATTGGTTAATATGTTGCCTCGGCCTATCCAACCATCAAGACGAGCGGTTCGGTGATTGGTTGCTTTGGTCTAACAATCCAACCAATCAGGCATCACATGCGAAGGAATAGCGCGAAGATCGACACTGAAACCAGCTCGTGTGTTGTTTCATGCTGCTGTCAGGTAACCCTGTCCGGCGTTGATCCCTCCCGGGTGGTAGTGGGGAACGTGATGTGCATGGCCGGGGGAGTGTTGCCGGCGGTGCGGAGGTTCAACGCCCAGATCGTAGCTCTTCCTGCGTTAGAGGTGAGAAGGTGCCAGGGACCAGAGACCGTTTTTGCGAGCGTCTACACTTGAGTTGAGAAAGGTTCCGATACTTTCGCGGCTGCAAATAGACCGTTTTTATTTTTGATCTCGGTGGTGGATGCCTTGCGCGTGTCAGCATTGTTGGTTCGCGAGACCGCCGAACGTGTCGGCATGGCATGGCCACGCAACAAAAGCGCTGCCTGCCATCCCTTGGATCTGCAATTTGAGCAATGTGTCGCCTTTTTTTTTTGCTCTCGTCACTTTAAATCAGCGCTCATAGCATTACTGTCGGGTGGGGTTCCAATCTCCCTTGCGTGGGTAGATTAAGCGTGTGTAGGCTTTCATCCCTCCGAGAGTTTGCTTGTCCTTTTAGGTCTTCGGTGGTACTGTAGGTCTGATGCTCGAAAATTATGTCGTGTCGGTGCGTACCCCGATAACAGACGGGCCAAGGCAAAGCAGGGTGTTAGGTACATTGGACTGATGTTATGCTCCCCCCTCCCCCGCTTTCATTTCTACCCTGTGTCGAAAAGGTTCCTATCATCAAGGGGACGGAGTTCCAGCTGCACATGCACAACCTTGACGTGATGGTGCACTGCTCCAAGCTCGTGTCTCTCACGAACACCGCGGGGACGGTGAGTCGGTCCGTCAAACCGACCTTTTGGGGTCTGCTCTTTATGGAGACTACGGCATGGCTTGGGACGGTGGTGTGGTACACTCGGTATGCGTTTGCTGTCGGCAGTGTCGTTTGTGTTGGGTGTTGGTGTTTGTCGTGGTGATGTTTTTTGTGTCGTGATAGACAAGACTCGTCGTCCTGGTCGGTATGCATAATATGTATGTAGCACGTGCACCAAACCAGGACACTGTCGTGGAACAAACTACTCTTGATCCCTACGTCTTGTATCCACACGAAATTACGTTCAGCAGAACCCCCCCGCCCCCCTCCCAGGTTCTGAAAGCACGGCCGCGATGTGTCCCGACGGGATCGACAGCGCACATCCGCATCACCTGCCAGAGACCCATCTGCCTGGAGAAATACGGTGACTGCCGCGCGCTGGGGCGCTTCGTGTTGCGGCAAAAGGGAGCCACTGTGGCGGTGGGACTTGTCTTGGACACGGAAATCAGATAGGGGGGAATAGGCGGGGGGTTCATAGGGTGGGGACGGGGCAACTCGTTTGTTGCTCTTTGGTTGTTCCCCGGTGGACATTCAGGACCACACAGACGTAATCTAGTGTATGGGCACACGCCGCATCTCCATTAAGCTGGGGATGTGGGCGGCGGGGAGCTCGTAAGAGCACTTCGGGGACCGGTGTTCCTCTTGGAGCGATTGGCCGCTCAACCAAACACGCCAGCCCCGTTTGGGGTTTTCCGCTTGCAGGTTTACTTGTGGGGCACGGCGGCCCTAGCGTGCTCTCGGAACCCCGTGTACTGACCGAGTGTACCTAGCTGCTGCGGGCGTGTGTTCTTATATCGGATACTGGGGTTTGTGGGGAATTCGTCGGAAGAAGCGGCGCATTTTGCGTGGCGCACGCCTTTCCCTGTCCTTTCCTCTCGCGAGACTTCCACCCAATTTTGAATTGCTGTGTGGTGGGTCGGGGCACGATGATGTCGTGCCTAGACTAGACTGATCGGCGACAAGTAGACACGCTTGGAATTTTGCCTGTTGATTGTCAAACTGCTCGTGTAATCAAGAACACTAGGTGCCACGTTCTGGACTATCGCATCATACCTCTGGATTTGTCTCTTTTATGTAGGTCAGCACCACTTATAGTTTGCGTGGGTTTAAGAAGTGCCGTACGTACGTGTCCATCCAGACCGATGAAGTACTTGGTGTGTTCGTGCTATTGATAAATTGGCATTTCTAGTCTCGGCAAGAACGAAAAGCGTCTAGTTCCGAAGTTAGCTTGATGACGTGTGTAACAGCAGTGTCTTCTCGAGAGTTGATGCCTTGTCTTCTCGAGTCTCTCTTCATTTTAGTCTTACCTCTCTCTCTCTGCATTTTCGCCGTGAGGGTCCCAATAACATCGAACGCCAACGGCAATCGTTTTGCATCTTGCTGAGTATTCTAGGAGGCTAGCTACCCGTGTACCCGGCTGCTGCATGGGAGGCGATGGGCGCCGCCTCTTTCCGTCAAGCAATGCGCATGGCCCCTACGGTTCGCCGCACATGCAGTGCTGTGTGACAGCTTTCAGCGGCTGAGAGCGGCGACGGTGTTTTTCGCCGTAGGGCCCTAGAACAACGCGAACCTCGACTGTTTCATTGATTTGGGGTTCCCCACTCACCCACAGTTCGGCTCACGTTTGCAGGCCGTGTGCAATCAAAATTGGGACAATATGCTCTATTTCTGGTACGCGAGCAGAGGGCATGAGTATGACCACACGCCATTGGCTGCAGTTTGTGGATGTCGACGGCTTGAGGCCTCTCTCTGGCATGCGTTTTGAACTGGTCACAAATGCAGCAGAGCAATGTGGCAGGGTTGACATTTTCGGCTCGTGTGCGGCCAACACGACGCAGAACGCCCTGAATTTTAGATACCTGCAGGGTTTGTGCATGACCTCATGATGCTGGCCTCTGTTTGGCCAGCAGACGGTGTAGTTTCTCGTTGTGGCACGATGTGGGTGTGACCAGGGGGTACCCCCCCCATTTCTAATAGCGATATTCCATCAGGATCGCTGTTGGGAAAGAGGCCAATTTTCTAACAGGCCGGCCGGAACCGCTGTTGGAATTTGCGCTGTTGGATTTTGGGCTGTTGTTAATGGAATTTGCCATTTTACTACCCGTAAGACGCCCAAATGATTTTTTTGGCTCCAGGAAAGGACCCCCCCCAAATCTAATTCGGCAATAATCAGATCGTCAGACTCAGCCTTGCTACCTCGCAAAGCGTATTGAAGCGAGCGGAGGGTCCTAGACTCATCTGTAGTTGACTTGCAAACCCTTCTTCTGGTACATTATATTTTCGAAGCCTGTGACCACGGCGGGAGTCGACCGCGTGAAGTGTAAAGACTATGACACACAGCAGCAGTAGTACGGACAGACGAAGAAGGGTAAAGAGAACAGAACGAATGGTTTTGTAATTAATTGTGAAGACAACAACAACGGAACTGCTGGGTTCGTCCATGGATAGTTTTTGCAGCACTTATTGTATGAAGTATTATTAGTGTCTAAGTCGACTTCTTCATGGATGGGTAATGAGAGGTTTCAATTCAACTACTACAATAACTGACTCGAGTATGGAGGGTGCTCCTTATTCTTATGGATGGCATGTACCGGCAGTAGGTGACACAACGTATCGCATCATCAATATTCACAACTAATAGCGTTAGTCCACGACGACGAGGATGTCAAACGATAGGTTTGTTTCGGAAAGCTATCGGTGCCAACGCCGCCCGGCCACGCGTTCTGCTGCGGAGTAATCGAGTTTTGAAAATAAAAAATTGCTCAGGGTGGGTGATATCTCATGTAATCTACTCTGTGTCCAGAACTCTTTGTCGTGCTCGGTGGGAGAGCGTGTCGCGGTGTGCGCCCTCGACCTTATTTACCGCGAAAAACTGGAGAGCTTCAGACAGGCAACGCGACGATACTCGTCGAGTTGCAATCACAATCACAACCCAGCAGGGGAAAAAAACACATACAACAAAGTCTGAAGAAAACACACAAGAGCACGGCAAGTCTGAAAAACAAATGCCAGCACGCATGCAAATGTTTCTATCGCACATCACGCAGAGGGAATACCACAAGTACAAATTATTCAAACCGACACCATCACGTGTGTTTCTCCCATTTATTCTGGCGTCAGTCACCACACATCTCTGGGTGGATCTGTTCGACGTTATCAGTGGTCACACGCGGGATTTCTTTCTCATGTGGACTGGAAAATATTTTGCACGGACTGCTTCTTGATCCTCTTCGCTGCGGCATCGAGCCCCTCCACCTCCTCGGGCGACAGGCTCCATCCCAGGGCCCCCAGGTTCTCTCGCGCCTGCGCGAGCGTCTTGACCCCTACGATTGGGACGGTGCCCTTGCACACGCACCAGTTCAGTGCCACCTGCGACATGGTCTTGCCGCGGGCGCTCGAGATCTCGCCCATGGTGGAGAGGAGCGGGCTCATCGTCGGTAGCACGCGGCGGAATATGATGCCTCGCGGCCCGGAGGGGATGTTGCCCGCGTTGTATTTCCCTGCGTTGTTGGTTGGCGTTCATTGTTTCGGCCACAGAACGAGGGAGAAGCGCTGGGAAAGCTCGGTCGTGCGTCTCAAGAGGAGGTCGTGTCAGACCACCGAATTTGGAAACGAGCAGGAGACATGATTCCAGAAACCACGCTCCGGTCGACCGTTTCACGTCCCTTTCATAAAGACCTGAAGAGAAACGAGCGCAAAAAAGGGCTACTCTACGTGGTGAAGTTATGCTTTCTTAACGCAGAACCACTTCTGTCTCTCTCGCTCCTTCTCTCCATCTTACCCGTGAGCAACCCCAGCCCCAATGGAGAGTAGGCGATGCTTGTGACCCCGAGAGACTTGGCCGTCTCCAGGAGCCCGTTGTCAAGGGGATATCTCGAAATCAAGGAGAATTGAACCTGTCGGGATAATAAGGGTGTTAGGCGACGTTGGGACATAGGAAGGGAAAGGTGTACGATAGTGGGTCATGCGGATGTCGAGGAACAGAAAAAGTGTTCCGTCCACTCCCTATCGCGTCCTCCACGTTCAACGGATTGAACATCCCGTGCCGGCGGCGGGACACCGGTACGGTAAAAGAGCACCGAATTCAACCGCGGAGAGTGGGTGGATAGTGTAAGGGTGGCGACCCCATGCGCGAGGGTGAGCAGCCGATGAGATCGTACGTGGTGGGCGCGGGTGTGGGAGTACCCGAGTGATCGGCGTGTCGATGTACGGCTTCCAGTGGAAAAGGGGACGCCGGAGCAGTCGGCCCGGCTACACAGCTCGCGTCCATCCACAACAAAACCATGTGGCTACCGAGCGCCTCTCTTGTCACGAGGACCCCACGGCCATTGAAACACGAATAATCCATTCGCCAAAGAGGTATATACACTTGGTCCATGTCATTGTGACTAGCACGTCCCGGTACCCCTATACCCTGATTCACTTACAGCGTGTGACAAAATGAGTCACCAGAACAGAATGGAGGGAGTTGAATCATGATATCAAAACCCAGTTAGGAATGTGCGCATCACCCGTGTAAGCTAACGATAACCCAGGGCGGTCCCCAGACGAGACCTCAAGTAAAGTACTGGTGGATACTCTGGAAAAGCCTTGGTAAAACAGAACGATGTTAACAATGGCTTAAGCACACGGGAGCGCAGGAAGGAAGAGGGGATGACTTACGGGAAGGATGAAAACCACGTGTTCTTTCTTGTACAGGAGTGACAACGGACATGTGGGCCTGCTGGACTTTCCGACGGTGCTGCAAAAATACCTGGTCTACTCCTGAGACAAGGGTCACGCGTGCTTGCAGCTTAGACGTGGTGCCCCGTTCTGCTATTTAAACCACTCCCAATATCTCAATATCGAAAAAATTGGTCGAAACGACTTTGCTCCAGGGAGTAGAACTGCCAGAGAATACTCTAGAACAGAGTAAGGGGCTGTCGAAAGTCCAACGTGTTCGTACTAGATCAACGAAGAACGACAACTTAGACGCGCGTACCTGATTGCTGGCCAGCGGGGTGTCAAGCCCAGCAAGGAACCTGTGCGCCCGCGCCACCCCCTTCGGCCCGTAGTTGCTCAGGCCTACCTCACCAATGCGGCCATCCGCCTTGAGTTGAGCGAGTCCGGTCCAGTAGGCCTCTTCCTGCCACCCCAAAGGTGGCGCCCAGTGCAACTGCCCCACGCCCAATGACTAGCAAACGGCAACAGCAGCGACAGGGGTAGAATGGTAGTTGTAGCAGCAATCACGGGCTGCAGCAGAAGCGGCAGTACCAATAGTAACGGTAGCGACAGAGGCGCAGCAGGACTACTTTTACTACTTCTCTCTTGACGACAGCAAGAGCGGTGCGTGTACGAGTGCAGACCTTTCCTTCCTAGGACGTGACACGAAGAAGCCATTCGTGGGGTTTCGCTGGCCTCGCGACGGCGCCGCCTGCATATCTGCGAGGCGCTCAGAGCGAGGAGCAGTGGCACAAGAGTCGACACGCCCCCCTCACAAGAAGCGAACACGTTCGAAAAACTACGGAAAAGTCCCTCCCAACTGTTTCAAGTGTCTCGGGGGGAATCACGCAATCCAAAACAAAATTAGTGCCCAATCTGGGAAATAATCGTCCCACACCGACAAGAGCGACGGGGTGCGTGGTGTACCAGTGATCGGGCCATGATACCGACGTAATTCTCACCCACAAGTCGAGGTCTCTAACCGTTCTACCCCCGCGCAAGGCCTCTGCCCTCCCCCATGGTTGGCAAGACGGGGAGGGTATGCACTCACATCAGCCCCCACACGCTCGAGTGTCTCGTCACACGCCTTGACGATGGATTGGCTTCCAACCCTGTACGGGTAGGGGGCGAACTTGGTGGCTATTTGAAGGTCTCCGCGGATTTTGTCGCTGCCGGGGTACTCCCTGACAAACTGTTGTTGTTCCATCGCCAAAGGTACGGATTGGGGGGGGGGGGGGGGG